TCAAAAAAAAAAAAAAAAAAAAAAAAAAAAGAAAAAGCTGTCAGATCTGCATTTGTCTTGGGTGAGCCTCGGAGGGATGACTGAGTTCTGTCTGTTCTTTGTTCACAAGGAATTTCTTTGTAAGCAAATTGTGAGAAAAGTATATAGGGTTTTTTTTCAGTTTGTTTTGCTTTTGAGATGGAGTATTGCTCTGTCACTCAGGCTGGAGTACAGCAGAGTTATGCAGAGTTATCTCTGCTCACTGCAACCTCCACCAAGCAATTCCTGAGTATACTGTAAGTGTATTCAAGAATGAAGTGACTCTCCTGCATCAGCCTTCAAAGCACCTGGGACTGCAGGCATGTGTCACCATGCCCAGCTAATTTTTTTGTATTTTTGGTGGAGGCAGTGTTTCACCATGTTGGTCAGACTGGTCTCAAGCTTTAGACCTCAAATGATCCACCCACCTCAGCCTCTGAAAGTGCCATGATTACAGGAGTGAACCACCATGCCTGGTGGTCTGTAGTCTTTTATATTTGCAGCTATCTTATTTAGGAATAAAATGGAAGGCAGGCTTATCTGACAGTTCCTAGCTCGACTTTTCCATTGGCTTAGTAATTTTGGGGTCCTGAGATTTCTTTTTCTTTCACAGATAAGTATTCATCATAACAAATACAGATTAGACTGGGCATGGTGGCTCACCCCTATAATACCAGCACTTTGAGAGGCTGAGGTGAGTGGATCATGTGAGGTCAGGAGTTCCAGACCAGCCTGGCCAACATGGTGAAACCCTGTCTCTACTATAAAAACAAAAATTATAGCAATCATGTTCACTATTGAAAAAAAAAGGGCCGGGCGTGGTGGCTCAAGCCTGTAATCCCAGCACTTTGGGAGGCTGAGGCGGGTGGATCACGAGGTCAAGAGATCGAGACCATCCTGGTCAACATGGTGAAACCCCGTCTCTACTAAAATTACAAAAAAATTAGCTGGGCATGGAGGCACGTGCCTGTAATACCAGCTACTCAGGAGGCTGAGGCAGGAGAATTGCCTGAGCCCAGGAGGCGGAGATTGCGGTGAGCCGAGATCGCGCCATTGCACTCCAGCCTGGGTAACATGAGTGAAACTCCGTCTCAAAAAAAAAAAAAATTAGCCCAGTAATGCTGGTGCAGGTCTGTAATCCCAGCTACTTGAGAGGCTGAGGCAGGAGAATCACTTAAACACAGGAGATGAAGGTTGCAGAGAGCCAAAATCATGCCGTTGCACTCCAGCCTGGGAAATAGCAAGGCTCAATCTCAACATCTATATCTATATTTATATCTATATATCTCTCTATATATGTTAATAAAAAACTCATAAACACAAATATAACTAAGGCTACATCTTTTAAAATAGTCCATCCGTCAGGGCACTGTGGCTGACACTTGTAATCCCAGCACTCTGGGAGGCCAAGTTAAGAGAATTATTAGGTCAGGAGTTTCAGACCACCCTGTCCAATATGGTGAAACGCCATCTCTACTAAAAATACAAATTAGCAAGTGTGGTGGTGTGCACTTGTAGTCTCAGCTACTCAGGAGAGTGAGGCAAAAGAATAACTTGAATCCAGGAGGCCAGCCCTGGTGTCCAGGAGAATGGCCACTTTTCTCCAATTGATTTCCATAATCACCCAGAGCTTGGTTGATAATGGTGGTGTGGACTACCAGAGCCAGGGATAGGAGCTCTGGGGCCTGTCAGTCCTGATGAACCATTTGAGAGAACCTTGTACCTTGTGACCAGCATCCCCAGAGACGGATCGAGGTGGCTTCCTCATGCTGCCTGGGCCATCCTTCCTAAAAAGCCCTGGCGTACCACATCTGTAGCAGTTAAGTGTGCACCTCAAGGATTCTGGAGTTTGCGGGCTTGTATGGTGAGAATAAAGCCTCTGCCTCTTTTTTGTGTTTCCTGTCTCTCTCCTGGGCCTTTCTATCTCTGTTATAAAAGGCTGAGATGACCACTTTCAGGAGGTTCTCAAAAGTACCATTTGGGGCCGGGCGTGGTGGCTCATGCCTGTAATCCAAGCACTTTGGAGGCAAAGGCACGCAGATCACCTGAGGTTGGGAGTTCAAGACCAGCCCGACCAACATGGTGAAACCCCGTCTTTAAAAAAAAAAAAAAGTACTATTTGGTCTCCAGGGCCTGTTTCTGCAGCTTTCTCCTGATGTCAAGGGCTGCCTCAGCAATATATTTATTTTTTATGACTAGTTGTCATTTGATTGAATGAGAAGTTAGAAAAATAGAAAATCAAGTCTCACTCAGTGAGTCGAGATTGCACCGCCGCACTCCAGCCTTGGTGACAAAGGTAAAATGATGTCTCAAAAGAACAACAACAAAATGAAAGGGGAGTGTGGCTCCTGCAACTCAGGCCTGTAATCCCTCCCAACTTTGGGAGGCCAAGGCGGGCGGATCACGAGGTCAAGAGATCGAGACCATGGTGAAACCCTGTCTGTACTAAAAAAAATACAGAAGTTAGCTGGGCATGGTGGTGAGTGCCTGTGTTCCCAGCTACTCGGGAGGCTGAGGCAGAATTGCTTGAACCCAGGAGGCGGAGGTTGCAGTGAGTCAAGATCGTACCACTACACTCCAGCCTGGTGTCTGGTGACAGAGCAAGATTCTGTCTCAAAAAAAAAAGAGTGTGGCACAGGTAAACATCACCTGTTATTGGTGACAGAAGAAAAAATGCTAAGGCTGGGCATGGTGGCTCACTGCTGTAGTCCCAGCACTTTGGGAGACCGAGGTGGGAGGATCATGAGGTCAGGAGTTCAAGACCAGCCTGGCCAACGTAGTGAAACCCCGACTCCACTAGAAATACAAAAATTACTGGCCGGGCGCGGTGGCTCACGCCTGTAATCCCAGCACTTTGGGAGGCCGA